TCTCTCTCTCTCTCCCTCTCTCTCTCTCTCTCTCTCTCTCTCACACACACACACACACACACACACACACACACACACCGAAAATAGGCATCGCGTACAGTGCACACCTTGCAGTGGTAGCGCGTCCCCATGCGCTGCGCGCACGGCGCACCTCGTGCGCGTGCGCGCGCACATGCGCGCTCGGTGTCACCGCGCGCATGCCGCACGGCGCAGCGCACCGCATCGCGCACCGCACTAATGCGCCGCAAGTATGATATAACTTCATGGAAACCTAAAGATTCCCTTGCCTATGTGACAGAGCATCACAGATGAATCGCATTTGTATGTTCCATGCTATGAAAATCAATTGCCTTGTATATCTGATATTTCTTCATTTAATTTACCAGCACCGTCCCAGCAGCCGTCATGACACAGTCATGGTTATGTTATTTACTTGCACATCAGAGTCATAATCGTAGGAGTTCAGGAAAAAAATAAATGATGATAATAATAATAAAAATCGTAGGAGTTCAGGCTGGGCTCACAACCCTCTCACACTACGACTTCTTCCGATGTATTTGATCGTAATTCCAGTAAGATGCGGTCCAGAAAGTTTGTGCATATGACTTTGGCTGCAGCTAAATACAGTCTTCCAGATAACCCCCTTCTTTTCACCGTATTTGACCGTAATTCCAGTAAGATGCGGTCCAAAAGATTTGTGCATTTGATGGTAATTCCAGTTAAAATGCGGTCCAAAAAGTTTGTGCATTTGACCATAATAATTCCAGTAAGATGCAATCCAAAAAGCTGCATCTTTTCACCCATTGCACACAACACTTGCTGACGTAACTATGTTGCAATCGATCGCCACAAAGATTTTTTTTCTGCCTTATTTTCTTCCAGTCCGTTGTAATGATCTTTGCAATGATCACCAAGTACAGTCTGTGAAGGAGAAAGTAAAAACAATGGGGAAAAAAAAAGAAAAAAAAAAAAAGAAAACAAAAACAAAAAATAAAACATATAAACTACAACAGAAAAGAAAACAAAAAAAAAGAGACAAAAGTGATGAGCACACTACCTTCAAGGTGAAGGCTTGCGTGAGGACTGCTGAATGCCCACCACCTGCCGCCAGCTGAGCAACTTGTCCAACACACCTGCCACATTGGAAAAAGAGGATTTGAATCTTTAGAAAGTTCATTTCTAGCACTTAATTAATAATTACTAATTAGTAATTAGTAATTACTAATTTACTAAATTTAGTAATTTACTAATTTTACATAAAGCCCTTGAACCAGTTGCAGTGCGTTTTGTATTATGATGAACACGTGCCTTAAATTAGAAAAGAAAAAAAGATAAGAAAAGAAAAAGATGTCTCTGCTAAGAAGTACACCAGATATGTCTGTCATGTCTGCAATGTTTTGCTGGATATGTAGACGGACTCTGGATGAGGTTGAACATCTACATGGCCTCCTCCCTCCCATATCTGTCTCTTTCTACCCCATCTCTATCTCTGTCTCCCATCTATCTCTCTACCACCTCTCTCTTTCTTCCCTACCTCCCTCCCATCTCTTTGATTTTTCTCACCACCCCACCTGCTTCCCATAATGACATCTCTCGTTTCCCAATCTCTCATTCCTATGTTTCTTTCTCCCATTCACCCGTTCAGCTCTAACCTGGGAAGAATTGCTGCCGAAAATTTGCTAGCGATGCACGTGCTCTACCAATGTCCTTCCATCATGCTCACCTGCCATCATTGTCTCCTTTCCTCTCTCTCTCTCTCTCTCTCTCTCTCTCTCTCTCTCTCTCTCTCTC